TGGCCCTACTGAGATAATTTTTTTTCGCGGCTCGATGAAGACATCACGTACAAAAAAGAATCGTCTAAGGATCATTTAGACAATTTAATAATATTCCTGCGGATATAACGTAATTTTTGCTTAAATTATAATTAGGCCTGGTTAAATATTGAAAACAATTAAATATCTTAAAAGTAATAATAATAACGACAAACGTTACAATTGAATAATAAGCCAGGATAATTACGACGAAATCTTTCAAATATGGCTCTAACCCGACATAACTTAATAACTATTGGAATCGCTCGGGAATGGTATACCTATTGAAAATATCGAGGTGCGCCAGCTTGAAAAGTATGACAGTTTCTACAAAATTGAGTTCGTCCGATATCCGTCGATTTCAAATGCTCAAAAGTGAAAAAAAGCCGATAAAAAACAAAGTAATTTTAAATTATTTATTTAACAATGAAGAAATAACCCAATTACGCTATTCATTTAGAGAAGAGTACTTCACTGCAATACAAAATGATTGCCGCAAGCCCGATTAAGATCAGACGGACAATTTTTGCATAATACAATTGTTAAATAACCCACATGAAAAAAAAATAATTTTCTTTAATTTTGTGCCAGGCTCAAAGTTATGAATTTTTTTTGCCCCCGGGCTTTTAGACCTTCTTGGACCCCTAAACCTATCACAATTGTTTTATTAACCATTTTTCAATTTTCAGTAACTTTTTTAGCGGTTCTAAAAAGCTTGAAAGATTTGACTGCTAAATAAATGCGCCTGTGAACCGGGATTTGCGAGTGGGAAAAAATCGGAAAGTATAGAAAAACACGTCTACAATTTTTTCGCACTCTCAAATCCTGCTTCACACATTTATATATTTAAAAACCTAAATTTTGAAGTTTTTTAAAATCGCTCAAAAAGTTATTAAAAATTGAAATGTGATCAATATAGCAACCGTATAGTTGAAAGAGTCGTTTTTTTCAGGTAGATTATTTAGCAATTGCATTATACAAAAACTGTCCGTCTGATCTTAATCGTAAGCACTTTACTCTAAATGTATGGGTTATTTTTTGGATATTTAAATAAATAATTTAAAATTATTTTGTTTTTTTCGTACTTTTTTGCACTTTCTTCCAGTGATATCGAACATTTCACGTCTACGGATATCGGACCAAATTTATTAACCAAAATTCATAACGAACAAATTTATAAGTACACATTTTTTCTCGAAAATGCATACTTACTGAGCTATAAGCGAACAAATTTTCCTTAAACTGGAAATCTCACATACTTTCTTAGCAGTGCAGGCTTACCTTCATAAAACTTTTATTGGAAAAATGTTACGTTAACAAAATACACGATTTAACAGCATATGCGAAACAACTCACTAATCCATGTTTAAAAGCACGATTAAAGCAGAACTATATCTTAACCTAACTCACAATAAAGAAGCAAATGCTTCTTAGTCTGCAAACTTTTGCTTAAAACTGGAAAATAAAAGTCAATAGCCAATATTTGTTTTTGAAATGGAGTTTCCTGTAATATATTTCCTGTTTGCGGCTATCTATTTATTTAGAAACCATTTCTTGTAAAAGTCCGGATTGTTTGGTTTGTGTACAATGCTCTTCGTAATACATTCTACATGCACTAGCAGTATTTCCTGCGAAAAGATGTGTTTCTGAAATCCTAAACAGAGTGCCGAAGGAGTACAATATTCACTAGACATTCATTTTTTCAGTTCTGAGGTTTAATGTTGAAATGTTACATATGGAACATGTTATTAAAGTTGAGAATTTCCTGAAAAGGTCGCTTTTGCCACAGTAATTTTTTATAGCAAACAAATTAACTCTAAATAGAATGAGTTGGACTTTTACAGAACTTCATCTTGGAGAACTCGTATCTCTTACTAAAATAGCTGCTCTGTCGTGAGTCGTTAATCAACCAACAGTTTAATTTTTCTTTTCTCCCTTTTCTCATTCATTTGTTTCTATCGTTTAATAAAAAATCTGTGATCGCCCTTTATCTCTTTTGTGTTTTGTGTCCTATCAACAATCATCAAAGGTTTTAATTTTTTTTTGTTTGGATACTTAATAATCCTGATATTGCAGCAGCTTTGCGGACATGTTTCCTATATTCATACTCAGCGCTAGTCATTTTGCTTTCAGATATTCGAATAACATTTTTTGGTCCATAGTTTTTTTTCCAACTTTGTAACGCCGAGGTTTAGTTCCTATTGGCAATTATTTATTTTTTTTTGCAGATTCGCATGTTAGATGTTTATCTTATTTGCCAGAAGCACGCAACTTTCTTTATACGTTTTCTGCCGATTCGGCAATAATTAAAGATTTATCAGCTTAACATGATTTTGCGCATTTCGTTAACTCATCTATGAATGTGTTGAATAATAGAAAACTCATAATATAGCGTTTTCAAAGATCGTCGTAATGTCCAGTAATTGGACTCTGTCGAAGATCTTTTTTTTCCACTGCATTATTTTCAGTTCTCTTCTTTGGTGTTCTTCCTTGGTAGTTTGCTAGATCAATTTTGTCTCTTATTTTAAAGAGTATTTTTGCGCCGTTGTTTTTTTTTGGAATTTTGTTCTATTGTAATATGTTTTACAACGTTCATTTTTTCAAAATGGGTTTTTCCACCAATTTTACCACGATTGTTAGTATTCTATCTTCATTTGATGTTTTTCTACTTTTCAGTTTCCTCTTTGAAACTTGGTTAGTTGCCTAGGTTCGTCTGTAAATCCGTATTAAATGGTTCCTAAAAAATAATAAAACCTCAACAAGTTGAAGGCTTTCTGACTTAGAAGAATTAAAAGTCCTTCATCAAGAGAATCATTCTAGTACTGAATTGTAAAAATCACTAGTGGTCAATTGTCGAATCCCAATAGATTCATCTTAACTACCAAATCAATTGAAATAAAACTCCCGACTCACTTGGAACTCACAGCGAATGGAGCGCAATCAACTTAGTGTAAAATGAATTTCCAGCTTTCTAAAAGCAAACGTATGTAAGCCAGGGAATTCGATGACGTGAAAAATTCTGCAGGTTTTTGTCACCTGATGTGGCTGTATTCCAATCCATTATTCGGCGAGCTTTGAAATATTGCGCTTCTTGTTTTAGTTAATGCTGTTTGCGCGAAGCTTCAATTAAGAGAAAAAGCATTCCGATGCTCCAACACCTAAGCAAATGAAATGCCTGTCTTTTTTGTTACTTAAAATGGAGGAAGGGTTGGAGAGAAAGGTTTATAACTTTTATGTCTTGCCTATGAATATTTTTGTAACATAGATTAGAAATCTCTACAGACAAATTGTAGGCATAGTTTTTCCCGTTGCGATTCAGTAAAATAAACGTACAGCATATTAAATGTCGTTACAGGCTGGTTGCATATTGGCAACTTTTGCATACCTGATTGTGTGGAATATACAAAAACCAGATTTCTATTAAATCTGCCCCTAGAGAAAAATGCAATCAAATCGCCAATGCAATAAAAAAGCAACTTTGTGCAGTGTCGATATTGTATGCATCATCACCTAGTGTCCAGTTGCTATATGAGGTAATAAAAAAAAATATTTAAAACATTTTTACAAGCTCAATTTAATAGTGGAAAGCTTCGTTAAAAGTGTTCCCACTTGGTTTGTTTGTTGCATACAGGGTGATTCAAAATTGGTATCATTACTCTGGAGGTGTTGTCTGGCGCTGTTATAAGAGTACAGAAAAAATAGTAAAATAAATTAATTGTTATTAAAAACTGAGAAATTTCCAAAAAACTATATCAGAAATACGGCAGCAATGTTTTTGAAGGTAATATGGCTAATTAACATTGCGCAAATACCCGTTGCTTCGTATTCATTTAAAACTCCGGTAGCCATGGAATTATACAGAGTGACAAACAAATAAACAAGGATAAACGGTAAATTCAACAAGACTCGTTGACTGCGCAACGTACTTTCGAAATGTCAGCCTGTTCTCATAACCTCGAATTCTGCGGGGTTTGGTGTTTACATAAATAATCCATACAACACCCAACATTTGAATGGTTAACTCCAAACAAGCTAGTGCCTGTGTAATCTCCTTATTATCCACTCTTATCAAGCAGCTTCTCGTATGCAGTGAATTAACTCGTGCTCAATTTGTATCTCCGTGTGCTGTGTGTATCGTACAAACGTGGTATGAATGTAGCCCTTCCTCGGTATTTATTTGGTGCTTGGGAAAGTGTCAGTTGTTGTGCTCTGACTGCCCCTGGAAGGCCCTGATTTGATTGTGTCCAATACTTGTTCCTCTGTGTCTGGAACCCGAACATCGATTGTCGTTCACTATCTTCCTGGAACCACCCTCCTTGCTCTTTGTTGGCGTGAGTTATTTCAGCTTCTGCTATGTTACTGTAGCATTTCCCCTGAACTAAGCGCATATCCGCAAATTCGTGAAGGGAAATTCAAAGTAAGTCACAGTTTGGCAAATTATTGTTTTTATTAACAAGGGTTATCCACCTGTAACTATCTGTTTATGGCAGAAAACATCATTGCCGCTGTGAATTTTCATGAAAAAATTGTAGAAGAGAACTTTTTGGATAGCAAAAATTTTCGTATTTTGAAGCCAAGACATTAGTTTTCCAAGATGCTACTAATTAAACATGGAACAATTTCTAAATAATGCTTAATAACAAAGTTGAAATTTGATCTTCAACTGTTAATATCTTCTAGAAATTTTCGGAAAAAAATTTTCAATATTTTTCTCGTACTCCCCAAGTGTACCTCTATCACCCCTTAAAAGGAATGACGCCAATTTTGAACCACCCTGTATATTTCCTACTTTCATAAGGGGTTGGTGGTTTGATTTAAATAAACTAATTTTATATGTTTACCTTTCTCTTCCTCTATTAATCCGAGTAAAAGTTTCACATATTAATTTGATTAATAATTAAGTTTAATTAAAAAAAAAATTGAAAATAATATAAAATACGAAATTGCCTAGTTACTAAATTATTGTCATACGCTGTCAGCTATGACAGTTCAACTTTCATCGTTCTTATTGACGGTGTTTCTTTTCAAGTCGGATTGTGTTTAACATTTTGTGATGGAAAAAATCGGGTACTCTACTTTATGGTGTTTCATGTTTGTCTTTGTCAACATCGGATTAGATTCAGGTATGTTTATGTTTTGAGTTTCGTTGAAAGCATTTCCATAGCGCAAAATATTCTTGAGATAGTTGGCTTTAAAATACCAACGTAACTGCTTCCTATCTGGTGTTAAACAACATTTACTGTTTTGACCGTTTTCTACTCAATCAACATTTCGCTAAAGGACGCGATAAGGAGTTATATTATTTTATAAATTTTACTGCAGAATGAACTAAGCAGCAAAATACTTTATGTCTGCAATCAATGAAGTTTCATTCAGGTTTCCGCATTAAATTCGATTCTGGCAGCTGGATAAATAATGGATGAATAATTCATTGATGGGTACAAACTATTATCAAGCTATTATTAATGTGTTAAATGCGGTTAATATTTATTTTCAAATTGTAATTCTTGTTTAATTCTTGCTCATTCACAAGAAGAACTGCCATCCTGTCCTTTTTTATCTGAGTTTTATTAATAGATGAATGTGTTAACAGTTTGCATGTGTACCTGTATATTTAATAATTATATCGAGCTTTTACTCGAATGCTTTTGTGAGTTGCTTCTATATTATGCATCTGTTGCTATAAAATGTTCTTGCGTAATGTGCCATTTTGTATACCTCTCTTCGTATTATTTTCCGGCTATTTTATTAGGATTTTACGTCTAAATTTGACGACTAGCTTCTCTTATAGATAATTTTGATAACTTTTATTCCTAGTTTTTGAAATGCTGTTTTCGACTATTTCCCGATAATTGATGTTAGTAATTTTTCCATAAGAAAACAGGCCAACAACCTAACACTTTTCACCATAGCGATGCTGCATATATCACAATAGCTGGTTAATGTTTTAAAATAAAACCACCCATTAACCAGTGTTAATCAAAGCTGACCCAATATTTGTCAACAGAAAGCAAAAATGAACTATATATTTTAAAAGCACATGCAATTAAGCAATGTAAAAGAAAACAAAATTATTCAAAACCAGCCCAAACATCCAGAAAATATGTGAAAAAAGTACTTACAAAATATATATTTTCCACGTTGAGTTTGGTTTTCAAATTGTTAACGCCTGGACATTATTTGCTTTCTCAAGGAAAAGTCGTAAATCTCATTGACTGAAAAGTAGTTGAAAAACGCATCTTCCCCAGAAACACCACTAAGAACGGCTGTGAGTAACATGATTGTCAATAATGTGAGCATATTTTCAACTTCGAACGTGAAGGCTTTATAAACGTGTTAAAAATTAGACAAATTTCTATGCGTTTGATACATGGAGTGTTTCAAATTAGTGAAAATTCAGAGCAATAAAAGTTAGCATTCTTTTAAATAGAAACTTCTTCGCAAACCAGGCCTGCCTTAATTAAATTGTTTCGTTTCGGACTAATATTGTCATATATTACTTTACAATTTAATTCAAATTGAAATGTGTGACGGTTTTCTAATCTTCAATTAATCATTAAGTTTCAATTAACATTGCGGTAATGAGTAACACATGCGATTGCGATTGTAAATGAAGAAATTTATGCAGTCGCAAATGTTAAAGAGTTTGCGATTAGAACTTTTCCCTCTCAAAATCAGTATCCTTAACAAAACGCTACCAAAATATCCAGCAACTATACTTTTCAAACGTTTAGGATTACTAGGCAGTTAATTTCGATATTTCCGAAGAAATGTGGTTGTCTCTCAGTTTCTCTAGCTTGTACATATCTTTAACTTATGCGAATCTCGAAAGTGTTTTTGAAGCGCACAATTTAAAACCAAACCGCAAATGTATCATAGCCAATTTGTGTTAGGGTTGTCTACTACTTGTCTGTAAGTAACTAACCTCTCACTGGACGCATCATTTCTGCGCTGATTTTTAACCATAATTTGCAGATTTGAATTTTCCGCATTTAGGAAATTTTCGTTAATTTAGCCATATTAAGTCTGCAAGGTAACCGTCTTCTTCGTTTGCAGTCTGCAAAATGATTATTTATTTTTATTTTAAAAGAGAAACATCTTTATATAATTACTAATTGTAATTATAAAATCATATAAAAGTAACACAAAATTATATAATTAAAAATAATAATAAGATAAAATAATTATAAAATCATAATTGAATGTTATTTCGGAATGCACTCAAGCTAAATTGCTATCAATAAGAATAGACCATTCTCGTTTTAACCATAACCAAAAAAATTTGTCAGCATATCATATACGTAATTTGATCAGCAAGAACAGCTTAGATATGAATTGTCGATTTCATCGTTCACCTTTCGATGGCAAAATAGATTAAATCCGTTTGTCACTAGATCAACTTTAATTTACCTTTCCATTATCCTGAAAGTGTGGAAACAATTCTGTTTGGAAATAAATCACTCGATTTTTCCAGACTAACAAAATAATCCCATCAACGAACAAAAACGCTGCCAATAATGGCCTATTTTGCCTTTGTCTGGAAACTCCATTATCTGACCTGAAACAAAGGCACAAAAAGAGTTTTGATGCCTTGACATGGCATCGCTTTTGGGTAGTACGTATTTATCTATTTATTTCGAAAAATACCGTGTTTTGCTTTAAAAAAATCGTTGGATCATGTAACCATCTTTCGTCTGGACCGTATTTCAAAGTTGCAAATTCTAATCAATGTCTGTACTTTTATAATAGGGAGGTGTGAGTAGAAGATTCTCAATAACATAGCCACTGATTGTTTATAAACAAATATAAACATAAATTACTTTTTAAGTGTTTTACTTCATTTGATAAACATTTCAAAGTTTAGTTGTTATTTTTCAATTAGCCAGTTTTCGTGCTGCAAAAAACCTAATTTGCCTTTTCTTTCACGCGGTATGCCATTTTTCAACTACTGCCAAAGTTTTCTATTCGAATAATTTTTCAGTTTCATGCAAAAGCTTCTAAAGTAATGGAGCAGCTCTAAACTTTTTATAGTAAACTGGAAAGTTGGGACTAATTTAGCTCCGCTGTTATATTAAATTATTAACGAAAAAGCTTTTCGTTGACGCAAAACTGTAATTGACAAAAAGTTCGCTAAATATATTTCCCTATGGTTAAAGCGGAAAGATTTGTCACGGTTTTAACTTTCAGTTTAGTAAAGGTTTCTAATTGTAAATATTAATTATCAATTCGCGTCCAGGATTAAAGCGAACCACCGCCTACGCTCTTAATTATTTTTAAGTCTTTTGGAGAACTCGATGGAACACGCAGGATCATAAATCCCTATTATCCTGGTACAAATTATACAAGTTAAGTTCAGCCGGACGATAATTTCGAAATGTGTCGGAGGTGTCAGCCGCTTAACTGAGCAAATACGTTAGCTCGTTGTTTGCAATTACCACTAGCAGTTTGGTCAAAATATTGTCTACGTGGAGGAAACCAAGTGTCCAGTTATTTTGCAGTTCAGATTAGATGTTAAATTTACTCACTTTCTTTTCTCGTTAAAAATAACGTGTCATTTCAGCTTAAAGAGATGGAAACCTTAACATATTAAGCAGCAGAATCAAGACCTTGTTAGGATGCTTCCAGTCGTAAAACACTTCAAAATAAAGCCTTGTCAAATTCGATAGGATAGGTTCGGAAAAAGGAACTTTTAGGTACTTAATTTAAACAGAAATACATTGTTTAAAGTATATACTCAAAAGTTTGTCGGTTACTTAATAAAAGACACCAAATATTTTCTGGATTCAAAGTAGAGAAACGATAGTTTATTTCATGACTGTATTTTGGAAATATTTTTTTCTTCTTTTTTTTCTCCATTAGTTTCATAACAAAGATCACCAGAGTGAGTGATTGCAAAATTTTACAACGAAAAGCACAGTTATCATTTCCTATACAACAAGGCGTTTTATGGACAAAGGTTTTTCACATCTACTGAATGAAAGAAGAACTCGACCAAGAACATTATGCAAAACAAAGCGGAGTAAAACATGTATTTTATGACATGGTTCTATTTCAAAGGAACATCGTTAACTCGAAATTAAAAGTTTACTTTTCTCTGCATCGGCACATGCCATTTTGCACCTTGCTAAAGCATTTCTTCGTAGCATATGTAAGGTGTCTGTTAGAGTATTCCAGATACTTTGTATTTGAATGTTATGACTTACTCGAAACAAAAACTTCAATTTTATGATCCTGAATAGTCTACGGTTAATGAAAAATGACTTGGAGATTTACTAATTTGCAATTTGCCTGATCTTGATCAGAATTTAGCACTCAGATCAGACTCAGAGATATGTTTTTTCGATTAACATATATGCTGTCTTCAGCTGACACATTGCTTAATGTCAGAGCCAAAGAAACGAAGAAGTAGAAGAAGATATGTTCTGTAAGCTGACTTGCGAAAGAAAAGTTATGCAAAGGAAAATAATCCCGACGCTAATACAAGAAGAATTTCGGCAGTTACTGGAGAAACTTATGACATTTGTGCACGGCAAATTGCAACAAAATGAACTAAACCCTGATCATTATCAACGAGTTCGTGCAAATTTTCCTCCGGATCTTCCCCAAATAGTTCCTGTTTGTTGATTGTAGAACGATCACATGGATATTATTACGAGAATCTTTTTCTGTGTCCAAACTGCATTTTGAAAAGAAGGAATCAGCAGCTTACGCAATGATTATTTTCTATGAACAATCAGGAACCTTCATAGTATTCGACAAATTTGTTTTCAGAGAAGATTGTCCGTAAAAGTTGGGGCTCCGAATAATTAATAATGACGTTATTGGACCACACTTTTTGTCAGGTTGGTACCCGAAATCTTCTGATATCAATCTGTTCAACTTTCTGAGGATTATTTCACTCGATTTCTCTGATTCTGTCACCATAGTTTTCTTTCAATTATTTCATATGATTTTGTAAATTTATCCCAATTATTTTTATGAACCATTGAAAATTCAGAATTTCATAAAAAATGCATTTTGCTGCTTGCCCCTAGTCAGAGAAGTAAACTCGCCAGACACCCGGTATTTGCTGTTTCATGCGTAATTATTTTGCAATTAGGGGACAATTTTATATTTATAAAGAAGTCTGAATATAAATTTTGAATGATTTAATGTATGGCAGATAAAGGATATCACATGCTAGCAAGCGCAATTAACTCTATCTTCGTGTGGGTAACCACAACTTGGTTTAACGACCTTGTCATGACAATATTCCCAACTTGGAATGGTAGAGTAATAATGTTCGTACCCTATCAAATTACATTAATGCTACGAGATTAAAACCTAAAACCAGTTTTGTTTATTGCTGAGTTCGTTTTTTAACGCTTTTTTATTGCCGGCACACGGCCGCAATATCTCATAATCTGCAAGTAAAAATATCTTGGAATAAGAATGGAAGCATTTTAATATTCTAACCCATTTATGAAACGACACGCGTAAACCCAAAACAGGGAATTTTATTGCTGTCTCTAATCGGTTACATTATGTACACGATCGTTTAGAAAGCCTGCCTTTTCCTACGTTATATTATGCCCCTATTTTTTAGAGCTGCTTGATAAGAGTCTGATTATATCACAGCCGTTAGTATGGATATTTTCTTTCAAAATAGTCGTAAATTTTTATTTAGGATTACTATAGCTACTTTATTTAGATGATCATTGTTTGGTTGCCAATAATTAGGAAACAGAAAACGTTTTTTATTTTTAATGTCTAACTTTTTCGAATGTTGATAGTCGATATACATTGAAAGACAACTTAACATAATTAAATGAAATTTAGATTCGTTCCATTAAATCAGCCATTTTTCAATTGTGCGAGATTTGCGTCATTTTTATAAGCAACTTTTTCGAACCCAGAACAATGGTTCAGGTTCGCATGCACGCAAGTGAAACGAAGCACAATGGGGTGGGAACAAACTCGGCGAACCATGACTCGAGACGGTTTAAATTTCTTTGGACATGGCAAGGGTATATTGCAGTGGCTTGTTTATATGGTGACCCAAACAAGCTTTCTTGCTTTAGTTTAAAAATTATGTAAAGTGCATACGTTTTTCTCAAAAATTTTAGGGCAAAGCTTTTGAGATTTGAATCTGCAATTCCAACCTCTTTAACGCTTGAATCTTTTTATACAACTTTATTAGCAGTTACTGGTTGACTTAAATTGTGGAAAACTAAATTTCAGTTTCAAGAAGAAAATTCAAAATTCAGATAAATTTTATCAATTTGGGCTTATGCCGAAATTCGAGATTTTTTCAATTCAGACGTCCATAAGGTTCTGTTGGAGCACTGATACTGTCAGCGAAAACGTTTGAAAATATTAACATAATTGCTTGGGAGTTGGTTGAAGCAAGATAAATTCACATTAAAAAAATGTTCACTGGAATTTGCACATGCGATAACAATAACAATCGGAGACTCGCCCAGCAATCAAGTAAACAAAAGTGTTTACTTTAATCACGGTAAACAAGTTTTGTCGATCGACTGTTTGGCTCTCTGTGTATATCGAAAGTATAACATCATCAAAAGTGTGCACTTCGAACTTCCGGCCTTCAGCGTCTACAGGTGTTCTTGGGGGGCTTCTGATGGGTTGACAATGGGTTCAGTCGTAAACCGGCGCGCCGGCCTGATCTAGATCAACGTATTTTTAATTTTATATAACCGGCATTAACCGATTTTGCAAATTTGCCGCGGAAAAACCGCTGATTTATTAACAAAAAGTTTTCCAGAATTGTTTTGTGCGTGATGTGTAGAACAAAATAAAAATGAAAGCTTTTTGGTGGTTAGTGATTATTCTGTGCTTCTGTGAAAGCAATGGATATATTCGAAAATATGGTAATTTGTTAATTTATTTTGATCTTCCGTATATTTTAAAAGATCCTTCTCAAGAATCAGAGCTCTCAGTTGTGCACGACGTCTCTGTATATGCCGAGCGAAACACTATAATCCAGATTTTGCAAAGTTTTGCTGGTATTTAAGCGGAATTTTTCGGCAGTCTTTTATAAACTAATAATCTTATTCAAATTGCCTCTTAAGATCGGGATTGCAAGCTACCACTGATGGATTTCTCGAATATATACATTTAAAATATCATTTATTCGAAACCATTCTTGCGTGCTTGGATTTGATGTTCCGACCATTTTTCCGATTAAACCAAGTAAAATATTCCATTTCAAATTACTGCATTATATCAAAGGTATTATGAACGTATCCAATACACGAGAAACTTTTATTTATTCTGTCCGATATTCCCAAGTCGCTTGCAATACCGAATATAAAATTTCCATAAAATAGTGGACTTTTAGCCAAGACCAAGTTCGATTTATATTCAGAATCCGGATAGAAAATAAGGAAGCGGATCTCGTTCAAAAGTTAAACCAACGAAGTTTAACCATTGATAAATCTCTAAGAAGTTTCGCAAAAATATTGGGAACTATATAACATAACTTCCGATGATAACTCGAATCACAAACTACGGCATCTGTATAAACAGATTTCCCGAGGAAATGAAGGAAAAAATTAGTCAGGGCCTACTAAGAAGTATATATGGAAGTTTGCCTAGTTTATTCTCAGTTGGCGTTTTCAAAGTGGTGTTTGATATATCGGAAGTTTCTTTTTAGAACTAAGCAGCATACGAATTTGGATATCTTATCTTTGAGTAGAAGTTATCGAGGGACATCCAAGAAATGTTCAGTCATGTAAATTTAAGTTGGTCAAAGCTGAGCTTCTGTGCTTCTTTGAATGCTACGAGGCATCTGATTTACGTTTTGATATTTTATTATTTTTGATATTTATTTTTAACTAAAGGGAATAACAAGAGGAAAAGGGATTTGAAATAATTTATTTTTCAGCTGGTGCTGGAACGAAAACGAAAGACATGTATGCTCATGTGGGCACAACCGCCCGACTACCATGTCCAGTGAATCCGGGATTGTGTGGAAAACTGCACAGCGTTAAATGGTACAAGGATACTTCGAGAATATACGTCCTCAGCCACGCTGGTACCATCAGGAGGCCAGAAGGCGATGCAAAAGAAAGGTAAGTTTGGCTAGTGCTTTAAAAATGTGAGTGGACAAGAATTGAGAAATCGTAAAATTTGAATATTAAGTTAAAGGTTTAGTAAATTTCAATGTAATACCTTTAGTCTTGACATTTGAAACCTTCGACAATTATTCATTGGTATTACAATTTTTTCATTAAATCGATTTATCTATAAAATGAAAATTTGACACTCCTAACCCACGAACTTTAACCAAAATATATTATTTCAAATAGCATCTGTAGAATTTGGTTAATTTGATGGTTTTAAGAGCACATTTTCTTTTACTTATTAAGTACTTGCACTTTTGTCAGATACCTTTTCGTTTTCTGGAGTATAATCCTAGTTTTTTATTTAACTATTGTGACATCTTTTGCCCATTATTTTCCGTAGCGAGGTCTTTTTCTTTTGAACATTACGTTAAATCTGTATTTTGTTACTTGTCAGTTATGTTTTGAGTCTTCATGAACTAAAGGTAACTTGGAAACTAAGAGCAATATATATTAACTGACTTTAAATTATAAATTTAGAATCTACTGAAAAATACATAATTGCTCCTACCTATTCTATTTAAAGTTATGTAACAATTTTTTCTCTATAATAATAATTTTATTACTCAATTTAATTCGATGATTATTAATTTATTATTTGATAATTATTGACTAAAACCATTTAATCATCATATTATTGCTGTTCCTATAATAATCGTTCATTAAATATTTTATATAATCGCAGTTTCCTTCTCACGAAACTCTGACATTCAATGAAAAACGACTTTGATGTTCTAGAGTGTGACAAAAAAAGAAATTAAATATTTTGAAATTGGCCAAGAAAATCGAGAATTGATTGAAAGTAAACAAACAAACTTGAGCATTGAATTGACCATAAATCAGCTAACAATAAGGAGAATCAAACAAATATAATGAAAATAAAAATTAAAAAAAATTGAGACATCAATGCTAAAGTAAAGATGAACTGGCATCTATCGCGACAAATACTCGAATTCAGAAAAAACATTCCAAATTATTATCATAAAGGCATATAAGGTAGTAAAATGTTTCCGACATGGTGGTCGCCTTCCTCCTATATTTTGAAGGAGGAATTATTTCTATATAATTTTTTTATAAACTTTGATAATTAAACTTTTTAATGTTTTCCACTTTCTAAAATGATTCTACATTTTGGCCAAGATTTCCGTAGGAATTTTAAGAACTTTTTTGTCAAAATTTTTTTAAGAGCTTTGAAAAAATTATTTATGAAATAAATTTCACTTGTAACTAAAATGAGAGAGAGAATAAGATCTGATCAGAGTTCTGTAATATTAGATTTCCTCACTTTCTTTCCATGGCAACTTTATTTCATAGATAGTCATAGATCAGTTAAAAAATTATAGAAAAGTTAATAAATAATCAAGTTTTCTGAAATTATTTTTTCTTCATGACTAAAATATAGGATGACGATCAACAAAACGTAAGTTGCCCTTCCTGATGAAAATTGGTATAAAGTAAATACTGCCGGTACTTTATAATCATTTTTTTCTCAATTTAAAATCTTTGCCTCTGAAATACCGTACAAAATTATTTTTTAAATATATTTTTGGGATTTTGTTTTCTTCCAGTTGACTTATTATGAATTTATTGCACACACATGTTTGTACGCCTTCATATTTCATTCATTTTTTCTTATCACAATCTAGAACACTGAAGTCGTTTAAAATTGAAATTGAGTACCAAAGTTTCGTGCGAAGGAGACTGCAATGTAACTGAAATTTTAATATAGTTATTATTATATATAATGTAAAACTGAAAATTTGCTCCTCTCTGGAGTTGTAACACCATTTATCAGATTAAAAATAATAGTCTTATATGCAAGCCCCAAAAAGGTGTGATTTTGAAATGGATAAAATCATTTGAAAAAAAAAATAAAAACTAGAACCATGCGATCCAACAAAAAATGAAGCACATTAAAACACATCCAAGTATCCAACTAATACCAAGAAAGGAAAGATGGTTTTCTTTTACAGTAGCGCAAATACTCAATTAATTCTTCCAGCTTCCAGATATTTACTAAACAGTGTCGCCTTTACGGTTCTTGAACTGCAAATGCTACCACGCAAAGTTATATGAAATATTTGAAACAAAGAAATATTATTTCAAGATGTGAACTCAAGCTTAAATCGACATAACAACTGCAGCGTTTCTGCTAAATATTCAGTGCATTCGAGCACCCTTTGAAGTATCTGGAAGATATAATAAGCAAAGCAACAAACTGTTTTTCATATCCGCTGCTAAGAAGCGAAGCTGCAGCTGCACAGCTTGTCTTTTCGCTACGTTTCCCGTACTAGAATCTTATTTTCGTTTACAGCTCAAACATTTCGGGAGTCAGCAGTTTTAGATGTTTGAGCTCTATATAAGCAGAGCTAACGGGTTGAACCTTCAAACAGAACTATTGCTGACGCTGGGATTTAATCGTGGTTTTGACGTGAAAGATCGCTGGGATGAAGGTGTGCAATCAAGCGCAAAAGCAAATCTGCATAGGGTTTATAAATATTTACTTGTGAAATGTTCTTGAAGAAATCGGTTTTCCTGGGATTTATCGGTACCTGTTTGCTAGATATCATAAGCGCATTGTTTTTAAGTTTTCTTTGAAAAAATCTGTCGACAAACCAGGGATTTTTGTTGGACACTGTTAATATTTCAACGATATTCGGCTTGTTGGAGAATGTGAAACAGACCAAAGTAAATTTAGTAGCTGCACAGTATTCACGGATGCCCAAAAGTGTAAACAAGATAGGATAAACCACATTTTAAATCTGCCTGTTTATACAGTTTTTATCTAGTTGTCTAGCTGTGTTATATAATTCTTTATTCTACACGGAATATATTTATTAATATATTCCGTGTAGATAATATTATAAATTATTAT